GGTCAGTTCTTAATCTGCTTACCAAGTGCTTTATTAATATTGCACAGTACTAACTTTTTTTAAACCACAAAGTCATCAGAAATAGACTCAAAAACTTTATAAAATTATAACATGTATCACATCTGTTCAGCTACCTTTATCAACCACATTTGTAATTTTCAAAGAATGAAATTAGGTTTGTTTGACAGAACAAATCTTATGATTCTAATCATAACCCCTTGCATTTTGATAATTAAATCCTATATTAATTTATTTTCCATTATCTTGCCTAGGCTTCATGTCAGGCTAACCAGATCATCCTGCTTCTCACCTTTGCATATTGATACAACATTGGTAGAAATACTGGAATCTTGCCCTAAGCACAGAGGTCACTCTTACTGTAGTGGGGTCAGCCCAGCCTGGCCACTGCCACTGCTCTGGGCCAGCAGCAGCCGGGGTGGGCAGAAAGCACAAAGCAGTGTCCAGGCTGGGCTGGGCCAACCCCACTACAGTGTAAGTGACCTCTGTGCTTTGGGCAAGCCCCCTCCCAGCAGGAAGGGGCTTATTCAGCCGCTTGTACCACAGCAAGATCTGCCCAGCCCAGCAGCTGCTGCTCTGTGCTTGGAGCCAGCTCCCTCCTGGCTGGCCACTGGCAGTGCAGTGGAGGTCTGCCCAGCCTGGCCACAACTGAAACTCGGGGGGGAAATAATGGAGGTGGGGCATCCACTAATCCTCCAGGAGTGCAAGTCTCGGGGCCAGTGGCAGGACAAGTCCCCTCAGTATCTTGTCCAAGCACAGAATGGTTTATCTCAAACTGGTTTCAGCCATTTTCAAATTGGTTTATGTGCACCGAATGTCTGTTCTGTTATAGGTTTGAACCAGTTTCTGATCACTTAAACTGGTTTATTTGTAATGTCTGTCCCTGGCCCTAATTTGTGGCATGTGTGGTTTGCGGTGCTACTGATGGGTCTGCAGCACTGCATACTGCACATGTGTGCTTGTTTGGATGCACACCAGGAAGCCAAATGCAGAGACAGCCCTGGCTTACTTTCCTTCCCAGATCAGGATCTGGTGCCTGGCTCCTCTTCCTCTTCTTCTTGCTCCCAGCAAACTACTTCCAAACTGCCCTGTTTGCTGCCATTTCACTTGCTGTTGACACCTTCCTGTCAAACGATTCCTTCATCTACATTTGTCACATTGTGGACTGAGACAGTTACCTAATAGTGGGTACCATACTTTTCTGTTAAAGAATGATTATTCATTGGGTACATGAGTTCTTTGGTAAGTATCCTAAATTGAAGTCCACCATGACCATGCATAATAGACTGGTGTTTAAGGACTCAGACTACTCTCTGGTATCATTCCGTGTTCTGTAATAAACCTTTTCCCGTATCTGCCCCAGGCTTGCCCTGTGAGTACATGGATCCATTTGCATAAGGTCCTATACTTCTGAGTAACTAAAATAAGAAATGGTGCCTTTAATAGCATATATACACTTTTCCTCTGCAACTAACTGTCTTTCCTGAATGGGTACCTGGAAATTTTAATGCTCAAAACATTCTGTAAATTATCATATTTAAGTTTTTAGTCAGTATCCATTATAATGAATACAATTTACATATCTCAGAGCTATTGCAGCAAATTAACTCTTGGTTCATGTTTTTTAGTGTGTTTTCTTAGTCAAATTTGGTAGAAACATAGCCCTACATTTTCTAATGCAGTCCTAAAACTGAGTAGCAGTCAGTATTTATGAGTTGTAGCCTGACCTTCAGATGTGTTAACAACTTCCATTCAGTTCAGTTCATTCCCTTCTCCCTCAGCTTTTTCCATATGAATTCTGTTTACTGTAGATTGCAAACTCATCAAGGCGGAAGTTGTGTTTGGCTGTGTATATTACTTTTACATGCTTTTGGGTTTTCACATGTTATAGATCATGTATAGATAGTATTAACTATGATTAATAATCAGAGTTTGAGCAAATATTCATATAGCATGGAAGCTTTAGGGGATGGAATATTTTTTGGAAATGGTGAAAGCCAGTTTTCTGAGAGACATAAAACTAGTAGAGTGAAAATATTTGAATATGTAACAAAGAATTAAATCTAGCACTGGCAGGGATAATATTTGTCATACTGAAGACTGTGACAGTTATCTGATATTGGGTGCAATATCTTTTCCGTTACTTAGATAATCAACTAAACCATTGTTGTCTCTGATTTTAGAGATTCCCTAAGAACTAGCATTCTGGCTGCTACTCCAGCCCCCCCGGATTAACATTTGACCATCTGAAAACAGCTGTATGTAGTGAAATAGATTTCTTGACACCTACTACTTCAGTGCTGTGCATTGTACATAGAAGACCAAGAATGACCACTTTAGCAAAAGCATTTGCAGGTCCAATTAAAGTAAGTAAAAAGGTCTCTGTATGGTTTAATTTTGACTGGTACAGAGATTTGTCAAACATGGCCATTCTTTGCCTTCCATAAACCACACTAGGTTCTGAGCTAGAGAGAGAGAAAAGGAACTTACACATTCCTGAAAGCTAGAGGTACAGAGTTTGTATCTCTAAAAACATTTTCCTATTCAAGTCCTATTCAATATGTTGAGTTTTTAGCATTTCAGTATTCAAAGTATTTTAACTCTGTGTGTGTGTGTGTGTGTGTGTGTGTGTGTATCTGTAGATGCATGGCATTTAAACTGTGTCACTACATGGGGAAAATGCATTTGGCTGGTGCCTAGCAATCATGCTGCAATATTCGACCCAATTTTCATTTTTACCCAATTTAAAATGAAAGATACAAGGTATATGACTTTTTTGTGAAATATAAATATGAAATATCAATGGTACTGTTTTAAATCCACATTAAGTATACATGGACAAATGCTAACCAGAAATAACTAACATAACGTGAACCATGTCATGGTTACTGGGCATTTAAATTTATACAGCTATTAGGATCCAAAATGGAGAACAATCAGTAAATGTTCTAGTAATTATTGTGTGACTGGACTACAAAAATTGTCCTAAATGTGTTTATGTCTGTGAATACAAACAGCTCTAAGACCTCAAACTGATATAAGTTTAAACTAGTGAATAATTTGATTATCAATAGGGTGTTGAAAAATTCCATTTTCAACAAGTACAAGGTGTGTGCCTCCTTTGGTATTCTTTCTATTTTGCTTAATGTTAAGTTCAAGGAGAGTAGTTGCACAGTTTAGTAAAATTAAAGTGTTGGTATGCTCTTCTGCTTTCACCTGACATGCATTCCACCAGCATATTCCTCCAGCTAGTCCCTCTCTTCTCATGACCAGCAATCCTGCCCGGATTAATCATTATTAGGCGGCTCACAGATGTGAAAAAAAAAAGCTTTGTAGAAGAATCAGCGCGTTAGTTTGATCCAGCTCTGCAGCATTTGTATAGATTGGGTGCTTCAGTGGGGCTTTTTGGTGTTTTTATCTAATAGCTGATTCAATCAGCTATTAGATAAAAGCACCAAAAAGCCCAGTAAGGCACCTGATCTATACAGACGTTGGTTGAGCCAGGTCCAACTAATGCGATGCCTCTTGTGGGCGTGCGCTAGGCTTGGTGTGAGGCTGCATGGAGTTTAAAGCAAAGCGCCATTTTTGCTGGGATTTTTTTATATCTGTAAACAACCTATGTTGTTATAATCAATTCTGTGTACTTGTTCAAAGCATTCCAAATATATTAGATAAAGGGAATTCCCCTTTGCTACTTCAGAAATGCTGTACAGTATAGAGCTCACTCTCTTTTTTCTATACTGCTTACTTTCTTTGGACTAAAAACCCCTCTCCTATCTTTGATGCCTCTATTATTTCAGTTTTTAGGCCTTTGACTCATGTTCTGTTGTCCTTTTCTCTCTTGCTTATTCTGTTAACTATATTAGCTAATCTGCTTTTCCTTTCATTGCATTGCCCACATCCCACAACCTCTGTTGTATGTTTTCTGTTCCCTTTCTTCCTGTGTTGTATCCTTTCTTCAGAGAATTTCTGTGGGTTTGCTGTCCTCCCACTCATCTTTCCTCCTACACACACTGCTTAGGACTTCATGCCTTAACTCCAAAATGTAGGTCCATCTGTGCCTGTGAAAGGAGCTCATTGTGATACTTTTCACTGAAGTCACCTTTGCTGCATGATGTGATCTGTGGACTGCCTTCTTTCCCTCCATTCAGTAGTGCAGGAAGTAGCAGTCAGATTTTTTAGCTGCTGAA